CAGGAGGTCAAATCCAAATCAGGCCTGGGGTGGCTGAGAGGCATTGTTTGAGTGGCAGCTGTTGGGTGACCAGGGTGAAAGGAGCTGGAGGGTTCAGCTGCATGTCAAGTGAAGTGAACAGGTGCTGTCTGCCAGGATCCTGGCAGAGGATGAAAGAGGGTGGTCACAAATCGCCTGAACTTGGTCTCCCAGACTCAGAGACCATTTTTGACCTGGCAAAGTGAGGAGCTGAACTTCCAAGTACTTTTGGGAGAGGAGGAAAGCTGAAGGAAAAGGACACGTCTAAACTGCCAAGGCCTCAGAAGAGGAGGGCGTGTCAGAAGAATGGCGGGGCACCTACTGCATCATCTGAGGCCGGAGCCGCCTTCTGCGTGCTAAGCATTTCATTGGCTTCTGCCTCTTCTGCCTCAGTCCTCGCACCCTTTCTTTCCAATGGTGGCTGGCACTGTCTTCTGTCTCTAAGTAAGGAAGAATAAGTGAAGATGCAAAGGGATCAGTGGGCAGATGGCAGTGATTAAAATTCATGGTGAGAGTTTTCTAGTTTTGCAATGCATTTTACACCCTGTGCATTCTAGACCCACAGCATGCAGGAGTGGGGTATAAAATGTGTAATAGAGTGGGGGGTCAGAATTCAGTAGCTGTTTCATAAAAGCTTAGGAGAGAACACTAAGTCCTACCTCTTGTTTTGACTGTTGAAGAAATTGAGGTCCAGAGAGTTGGAGGTCGGTCACTGTGTCAGGGTCTAAGTCACCAGCAAGTTAGGTGACTCCAATTGATGAGAACAGTCAATGAAGGTATTGAAAGTATATCGAGTAGTTCACAGCAGCTTAAGGGAAGCAAGTGTGGCCAGTAGTGAGGAGGCAAATAGTTGATAGTTCTTCGGGAGAGGCCTCTTTTACTGCTTTAGCCACTGGCTATAGCTTAGGGCAGGGAATATCCCACTCGACAGAAAACTGGCATCTTCTTGCTTCAAGTCTCTAATTAAATTTCACCTTTAAGAGAAGCTTTCCCTGGCCACTACACGTGAAACAGTAACGCCTTCCACCTATGTGCACTCCCCTTTCTCTCATCCTTTATTGCTTTCCATAGTGATTATTACCATCTGGACATTACTCATTTATTATTTACTATTTACTTTCAGTCTCTGCCTCCAACCCCTTCTCCATGATCCCATTTCTGAGGGGTAGAGTGTCCTCCAGAAGTTGCCTGTGCCTTTGGAAGAGGAGGTTCCCTTAGATTCCAGGTCTGGGCAAGTTTCAAAGCTCCTCCCTTGGGAACCTCAGGGATGGGGGTGGGGTGCTGTTTCTTTCCCAGAGCTTTTCCCTTTTGCCTGCAATCCAAGATCCTCAGTGAGATAGCTCTTCCCTGGTCCCAAATCCTGGAGGAAAGGAGCTTTCTAAACATGTGAATGAACAGGTATGGAAGGAGAAAGGGCCACCACAGGCCAGAGTCTCTGTGCTGTTTGGATACCACATTTTCAACCAAGTTTTTGCTGGCAGGCTCAAGGACCTGTCTGCTAATATGGCTTAGCAAAGATTCCTCCTAGCTGTTTTCAGCCTTTCTCTCTCCATTTTTCTTTTCCTCCTCCCGCTCCCCACTCCTTTCACCTGCAGCCCACTCTCCACCCCCATCCATTTCCTAGGAAAATAAATCTCTGGGAGGAGGCAGAAAGAGTGGATCTCAGCGAACCCTTCTGAATAAATGTCTATATTAATGAATTATTAACTCAGCCACCCGTGACCTTAAACCTAGAAGCGCAAGCACCCAGGGCAGAGCGGAGAGCTGCCGAATCCTTTATTGGAGTCCTGTCAAAAGCAACCGACCATTTGTTCCACTCCCTTATCAAGAAAAAATAATTAATATGAAAAGCAAACTTTTGAATGTATGTCAAACGAAATCAGATAGAGGGTCTCCCGGACAGAACCCACTTCTCCTCCTGCCTTTTCTGCTGCTCCCTCCCTACCCTGGCCTCCAGCTCCATCTTCCCCTCCCAGCTTAGGTTACAATGGGCTTCCCAAGGATAATTTTCGGGGCAAAAATGCTCGAGAAAATGATGAATTTGGGTAGTTAATTTATCGATCCTGGCTCCTCTTCCCACTTGTTTTATTTTAGAGGTCATTAATCAATGAAGAAAAACACCACTGTGTCCCCCCGTTTGCATTTAATACATTCAGGCTCCTTATTTATTCCTCTGGAACAAATTCCCAGCAAATATTCACCCATCGATTTGGGAGCAATGGATTTTTATAAAGATTTGATCGCTTTCTAAGTGGTCGAAGTGATTTGTTTCCCCGGTCTTCTAAGTATTGAAGGGGGTGGGGGAGGCGGATTTGAGGGGGTGCTGGTCCGTGCCTTCGGTAAGCTCCCTTTCTAAAACCTACTGAGCCGCGCCAGGGTGGCCGTGACCAAGCGGGCCCAGGGTAAACTGTGGGGGGGGGGAGCGCCCCTCGGACCGCACACAGCCCCGGGGGTCCCGCCTACCCGCACCCTGCCTGCTTGCGCGCCGGGGGAGGACTAAGCGGACTCGGCCTCGCCCGCCCGGCGCCTCTGACCTGCTGCAGAGGCGCAAGGCAGACTCCTGGTCCATTCCCTTCCAGGCCTTTTCGTTCGCTCCCGGGCCTTCAAGGCGGCCCCTCAAACTTTCTCCTGCCCCCTTCACGCGAGGTCCCTGTACCCTCTGGGCCCTAGGGTCAAGTCGCCTCCTGACCGACCTGCGCCAGGGGTAAGTGGGGCACAAGCTTGAATCAGAAAACCCAGGTACGCCATCCGTAGACGTATTGGGCGAGGGGGACTTCGCTACCTTCTCAGCTTCTTCCCTGGCTCCTGCAGCAAGGGGAGTTATATCTCTCCCGTGGTGCTCCCTCAACCCCGTCTGGCGTCAGTCTGGACCGAGGGACTACAGGTCTGACTAGGGTGGGCAGCAGATGCACTTGGCACCTCACCGAACAGTGTTTGAATCCGCCTACATTACTCATTATTGGCGTGACCTTAGGCAGCCCATCTAACCTGTCCGAACCTCAGCAGTCCCCACCTACAATATGGGGGTTGCTGATGCCTTCTCCGCAAGGTTGCTAGGTGGATTAAATGGACGTAAAGCACCCACCCGCGCCCAGCAGGTCCAAAGCTCTCATTAACAGGTCAGCTAATCTCATTACGAGAGGAACCCTCCCTCTTCCGCTTCCCAGAGTGTGGGCGGCCTGTGGCCACCGAAGCAGCTGTTGCGACTAGCATTTCAAAATCCCAAGACTTTCTACTGGTGGAAGGGGGTGAAGGAGTATGGGGGAGGCGGGTCCGGGCAGGTAGAGGTTCTTTGGGACTTCCAGTCCTGGGGACCAAGCGCTTGGAAGTAGCTGGGTTTGGGCAGAAACAAGAAGGCAGATGGGAAGACCGCTGCCGCAAAGTCCGGACTTCCGTCCCTGGAGCTCACTGTCTCTCCCAGGGAACAGAGGAGTGTCCTGGTTTCTCAGCAGTGAACCTGGAGAGTGTGAGAAAAAGGATTTGTTTCTTCTCCCGCGGCCCGGCAAGCCTCTCTTCGGCAGTTCTACCAGCAGATTAATTGAAACGGGCCTGGAACTTCATCCTCTCCTCCCTATGGAGTTGCTGGAAGTCTGCGGAGACTGCCTGGTTAGCCTCCGGGTCCACAGTGCCGTGGGTTTTCCCTCGTGGTGTCTGCCTTAAACTTGGGTGCTATCAATCTATCCAACGATGACGGATGACCTTGTCATAACGACGCCAGTCAAAACATTTTCGGTCCAGCTCTGTTCCAACCAACATCGAAGCATCCTGCATGAGACTCGGACGAAGTCTAAACAGCACGTTTCCCAGGCTCAGACAACTTGAGTGGTGGGAAGAGAAAAAGAAACAAGCAGAAATCAGGAAAGAATGGCTATTAATTGTTCATCCTGGCAAGTGCTAAATAGGTTGTCTGAAGAAAGATAAATGCTGTTTCTTCTCTTTGAGTTACGGCCAGAATCCTGGCGATGGGAAAGTATCTCCTGAATCGGTCAATTTCATACACCTTGCTTGAACCTTCTACCACCTACTATTGAAAATGCCAGGAAGAGCTGGGAGGGGGTCGGGGGAGGAAAGTGGCTAATTCGTGGGTGCGAGACTGCATCTAAGGGCTGCCTTGGCCCAAAGTCTGGGGAGAGGGCATGGTGGGGGTGGGGCTGCACCTCTAACGCCAGGTTTTGGGTAGAGAAACCTAATCGTGACCTGGGGAAGCAGCAGGAAGCTAACTGCAAATAACATCGCCCGTGTCCCGGAGCAGTTGTGCCACCAGATGTAGCACTGGATACTTGCCTCAAGTCCCCAACGACGAGTGGGAAAGAGCCCTCCAGAAAACAACCCGGGAGGGGGTCGGCTGGGCGCTGGATGGTGTGCAGACTCCATTGCAGCCGCCTCCCAGCCCTGCGGCCAATCCCTCCAGGACCAGCTGCTCTTAGAGACCCTCGGTCCCAGGACTCCCTGCACTGACAAGCCTGCCTCCAGGGCTGCAGACAGAGGGTTTCACTCCAGCGCGCAACCCGTCCCGCTCCGCCCCCAACTTTTCTCCCCAGAGGATTTATGATAGAGCTGGAGTGGCGAGCGAGTGGACTCTAGCACCCAGAAGCAGTCCAGGAAAAATAGCCGGGCAAACCTGGACCGGCGGCGCGGGCTTGCTCAAGCGTGGACACTACAGCGTGCGCGGAGATGCATTCGGTTGCCGCGTTTCCACTGATTTCAAGATCAGGGCACTGAGCTGGCACCCAAAAAGACATATCATGGACAGAAAGAGACAACTGGCTAGCGGGAGACGTCATGCCAAAAAAACGGGGAATGAGAGGGCGGAGGAGTTTGTGCGGGAGAGGCGCACTGGCGGTGTGGGTCGGACCGTTAGAACTTCCTTCTTCCCTCTCCCCTCCCCTTCTTCTGGCCTGCCTCCCCTCCCCCCTCCGTTCCCCATTTCTCTCTCTCTCTCTCTCTCTCTCTCTCTCTCTCTCTCTCTCTCTCTCTCTCACACACACACACACACACACACGCACACTTGTATTTTGTGCTGTCGTAAAACCCACGTGTCCAGCCGGGAGGCTGCCAGAGCGTGGAGCCAGGGAGCTAGGACGCGGCAGCGGCCAAGCGCAGCAGCCCCCGGCGGCTCAGTCCCGCGCTCAGGTCCGCCTGCACTCTCGCGCCCTCCGCGGGCTTCCAGTTCCCTCGCTCGCAGGTCGGGCGCGTTCCGGGCGGCACGATCTCTAGGACTCGCCTCCTGCGTTGCCCAGGGGCATGTAGTGCACACAGGGCGCACACTCTCTCGCACCCGCACGCTCACCGAGACACACGCACGCACCCACCCGTAGCGCCGAGTTTTCAGGTAAGGTGAGGCTCCTCTGGAACTTAGAGTCTAGGGCTCGTTGGATAGGAAGGTTGGTGGTCCTAGGTGGGGTACGGGGGGTGAGACTGTCCCGCTTCCTGGCGCCTGAGGCAAACGCGGCTTGGGCGCTGCGCCACCCGGCTCGGGTCGGTTCCGGGCGCTGGCTGAGGGCGGGGGCTGCGTCCTGCAGCCGAGCTCTGCTGGCAGCGCCCTCCCGTCGGGCCCCAGCATTGCTGGATAGGAGCTGGACGCTGCGGGCGGGGAGACAGAGCAAGGTGCCCACAGCTCCCTCTGTGCGGCGCCGCAGCGTCGGAGTAAACTTTGCGCCCCAGCGGAGTTGGGAAGAGGGCGTCGCGGAACCGGGCGGCCGCAGGCTGAGCCACTGGGTCCGGTGCTTTCTCCAGGGTTCCAGCGGCCCTCTTCCCAGCCCCGGTCGCCCAGGCCCTGGGTCCAGCTCACGCGCCCCTTCTTCCCTGCCCTCTGTCCCCAGTTCGAGGCGTCGGAAATGCTGAAGCCCGGAGACCCCGGCGGCTCGGCCTTCCTCAAAGTGGACCCAGCCTACCTGCAGCACTGGCAGCAACTCTTCCCGCACGGCGGCGCCGGCCCGCTCAAGGGCAGCGGCGCCGCAGGTCCCCTGAGCGCGCCGCAGCCTCTTCAGCCGCCGCCGCCTCCCCCGCCGCCCCCAGAGCGCGCCGAGCCTCTGCCGGACAGCCTGCGCCCGCGGCCCGCCTCTCTGTCCTCCGCCTCGTCCACCCCGGCTTCCTCCTCCACCTCCGCCTCCTCCGTCTCCTCCTGCGCTGCTGCCGCCGCTGCCGCCGCGCTGGCCGGTCTCTCGGCCCTGCCGGTGTCGCAGCTGCCGGTGTTCGCGCCGCTAGCCGCCGCCGCCGTCGCCGCCGAGCCGCTGCCCCCGAAGGAACTGTGCCTCGGCGCCGCCTCCGGCCCGGGGCCCGCCAAGTGCGGCGGCGGCGGCGGGGATGGCCGAGGCGCCCAGCGCTTCCGCTGCACCGCAGAGGAGCTGGACTATTACCTGTATGGCCAGCAGCGCATGGAGATCATCCCACTCAACCAGCACACCAGCGACCCCAACAACCGTACGTAGCCCCAGCCCGCGCGCTCTCTCCCGGGGCGCTGGCGCGGGTGGGCCCGGGAGCCAGTCAGGCGGGTCGGGTAAGAGTGACACGTGGGCGGGGGGAGCAGCTAGTCCCGGCCGCCGGCCCGCTCCTCCCCGATCTCTGTGACAAAAGTTTTCTGGCGCGGGAGAAGGAAAAGAGAACGGTTGAGTCGGCCGGTGGCACTTTGGGGTTCCCTCTCCGTCCCTCCCCCCCCCCCCGTCACTTGCTTCACAGTCCCAAGTGTTAGGGGCCGGAGTCGCCCGTGGACCCGACCTTACAGACCTCTCTGCTCTCCCGCCGGACAGTGCCGGGGGCCAGGCGGGTACTGGCAGCGCGTGCCAGGGGTGTCTGGGACCTGCTCTGCCTGGTCTTAGCCGGGACGAGGGAGGGACCCTCAGCGTTTCTGGGGAGCACGCAGATCAAGGCTTGTTTCTGCTGCTCTCCACCCCACTTATGGAGGTCAGGTCATTTTCTGGCCGCGGGGTTGTGGGGGAAACCTGCCGCGAGCTGTTCGCTGGCCAGGCCTCGCTCGAGTAGGAATTTTGGGTGGTAGTGAGTCGTTTCTCCTTGAAGGCAGGTAATATTCTTAGATCTACTATTCATTTAAAAAGAAGGAAAAGAAAAAAAAAAATACCTGCTACTTAATGAGAAGAAAATTTCTGTTCCCCGCTGAGTCCGCTGATCCCGCTTTATTCGCGCACCTTTGACCCCGCAAACGTTCATAACCCAAGTTAGTTTATTTATTTATTTTAGAAATTAAGGGGATTATAATTTAGTAAAATATGCTTTCTCCCCTCTTCCTCCAAGTTAATAGCAAATGCCAAACTAAACATCAGGATTCCTGTAGCTTCAGTTCTTATATTCACAATTTGAAACGCTTATCACAAGTACGGTTCCACTTGGTGGTTTTGAAGCAAAACTCTAAATGATGATCAAGCAATATGTACTGATTTATATCTGCTTCTTTTTGGTAATTTCAGAATTTTTACTGTGTTTACACCTATACTGAATTGGGGGTGTTAAACGTGCTCCCAGAGACTTCTGGAGATAACGTTAAAGTATGTGAAGAGCGTCAAATTGAAAGCAATACAGGATTTGAAAGATCAGCATTCATTCCAATATTTTCTTGATTTCATTCATTCATCTGGCTTCTGTATGAGTAGAGTCAATTTAAAACGGTTATTTTTATTCAATTTTGAATAAGTTGCTTCTTGCAAAATGTCTACCACTCTGTGAACTTCTTAATTCGTTGTAAAGGCAAAATAAGTTCAGTTATGGCTTTTTAAAGGATTCCAAAGTCGTTGCTTTGATGAAAAAAAAAAAAAACGGCATCAGCCTCGTGATTGAGGTCTATGAATATTTTCATTATGTTGGACAAAGTTGTGATGGAGATAATAATTACCAACAAAAAGAGCAATCATGCTTCCTTTTTTCTTTACAAAGTTTGAGGACAAAGCACTGGTTTAAAATAGTGGTTTCAACTCTAATTTTGCTGTGCAGTTGAGAAAACTTGTATTTCAGAGTTTCAGAAAGTTTTACAAAATATACTTTCCCAATAGATTTTAAAAACTACTTATCGCCTACTAAATTTGTCGAATGTGTGTTTTTGAAGCAATTATTTTAAATTGCGAAATAAGATTTTTAAACTACCTTGGAAAAGATACCTCTTACTGCTGAGTGAAATATAGCCATTGCAGGCTGAGAATGCTTCATCTATCTTACAGTTTCTCTTCTGAATTAAATATATGCTAGAAAAGTCACTAGGAGCACACCCCCAAAACTCTGGCGATGTGCTGAGCTCCCTGTACTGTTTACAGTGCAGTCTGGCAATTTAATACATTTTCACCAGAGAAAACTTAAGACTAATCAGAGAAAGAATTAGGATAGATTCCTAATGGGTATTGAACTAGTTTATTGCCTAGGTAACTTTTTCTCTGGTTGGAGAAAATAAATTACAATTTTACTTAAATGATTTATATTGTGTTAATCTTCTGGTATCTCGTTTTGAGCCAACTGGATTGTTTCAGTGTGTGAAGTGCAGAGGGAAAGATAGAAGGAAAAGAGACTTAGATTGTCCTATGAGAGTTACACCCCACGATGCTCACTAATTAAAGGGCAATTGAGAAAGAAAATAAAAAGCTGAGATAGCCCTGTGTAATGCTGGGAGACCAGATCTCTCACTCCTCCAGGAACTTCTCTGGAAAAGCAAGCTTAGGCACTCATTTGAAGCCATGGGATGTACTTTTACAAGAATGAATTGTGATCGAGTCTAATCTAAGTAGGAGCTTAAAACAAATCAGAAATACAAATGCTGGGAAACTCATTTCCCTTGTCAGGGGAAGTTGGCATAATGGTTATTGAAAGACTGTGAAAAACAGAAGCTTCTCCTTATTCCCAAGTTATAAGTGAGTGGGGGTGGAGTGAGAGGAAGGGTGGAGGCAGAGGGAAGCTCCTAATAATTTATCATGTATAGATTTCCCTAGTTGTTCTTTTAGTTTTTTTTTTTTTCTTTTGCCATCTCCCTCCAAAAGAATTCTGTGAAGTGACCACTTAGCATTGCTTCATTTTATCAGTTTGTACTTTAAAAAATAGGCATTGAGTTGTTTTCTCTTCTTCTTACAAGGCGAAATAAAAACGGGGGGGGGGGGGAGGCTTGTCCCTTCCCCTTAGTAGAGTAACTTTTTGCCATAGATCAGTAATATATATCATTTCTCTGTAAGGAAAGAACTTAGGAACACTAGTATTCACCTTGAAACTTTATTGGCCTCTATGGAAAATGTCACAGTGAAGGGGCTTGTAGCTTTCCTTCATTCCAAAAGATTTTAAAACAGCAGAAACTGCCAGCTAGCCCGGGTGAGCTTTTCCAGTATATTGCTAACTCCGTGTCAATTTACCCTGTGACTAAAGTACACTTTTGACCGAAGCTCTGAATGCTTTGCTACTGATGCTGCTGCTTTCTTTTCTTAAAAGTCAAGTGGTGCCTCCTGCTATATAAATGGGGGATGGGGCCCTTCTTTCCCCCACTAATATTACTGCCCTCATTTGCTGCTGGGCTGTCTGAGGCCTTTGATTTAGATCAGAGTGGCCTCTTACCGTCTTCCCGGGTTCTGAGAGCGGGCGCGTTGCCTGAGACCTTGTTACTTAATCTTGGAAAGTAGAGAAAGACAGTCACCGGGCGCACCTGGCGTTTCTGCGGAGCATCCCGGATGTTCTCTTAGCAGAGCCAATTAGCTTTTCATAACTTTTTGTGAAGATGTGCCTCTCGAGGACCTGGGAGGGAGGCGGGAACTGAGCCACTTTAGGTGTCTCGGCGGAGAGTTGGACCACCTAGCAACTTCCACAGTTGGGGAAGGGGTGTCTGTCCCCTCGCGATTTACTGAAACCCTCCAGCGCAGGGAACAGTGCCGGGAACAGCGCCGTTGGGAGAACGGTGCGGGAGCAGGGCTGGGGGCTCCCTTTTCAGTAACGCCACGTTTGGGGTTTAGGGAGGGGGCTGGGGAGAGAAAAGGAAGTCTGGGCCTAACACTCGTTTGTCGGGTTGCCTGCTGAGGAGTCAAGGAAAGAGATAAAGGAGGGCGAGTGTTTTCTGACCTTCCCTAATCCCTTCCCACCCAGGTGGGAAATACAGGTCTTGTTGGGGCAACCGCGAGCCCAATGGTGCATCCGCAGGCTTTTCTTGCCTCGGAGGAACGCCCGCTGCGCCCCTTCCGCCCTGCGCCTCCACGGAGAAAGACCAACGAGCACCTTAGATTTCAGACCTGGTCCGGCTGGGAGGGAGATTTGGCTTGCGTGGGCTTTTGTGTTTCTCTCTCTCTGTCTCTCGTGTGTGTGTGTGTGTGTGTGTGTGTGTGTGTGTGTGTGTGTGTGTGTGCAGGCCAAGCCTCCTCCCGTAACACACAAGATTTAGCTATTTTACATCTTTCGTTATCTAGCGCCCCGAAACGGAACATAGAGCCATATATTAGATTGAGGTTAGAAGAGGTGGCGACTGTTTATTTAAGGTGATAAAATGGTCCATCAGCAGTAATCTCCATCGATATGTGCCACCAGTAGATGAAGGATGAGGGGACAAGCCACAATTAATTGCCCTATAGTTTTGTAGGAGAGAGTGGAGCCAGCCCAGACCCGCTTCGATCTCCTCTCGCGGCTCCTATTCATCATCTCCGCATTGTATATGGCAGCCTCGCAGGGGCAGGGGCCGGCGAGGTTTATCTCTGCGCAATATTCTCTCACCCTCACACACTGGCGCTCCCATTTAATTTATTAATACAGTCATCGGGAGACAAATAAGACCCACATTTTCTCCCTCCCTTCTTTCCCTCTTCCTTTTGTCTCTCTCTCCTGGTCCCAGGGCCCAGCCGGCGGCCAGGCGGGGCAGAGAACGCCCAGAGCTTCAGCGATTCGCCGGGAGCTTTAAACTCGCGTAGAGAGAGAGTTCCTGAGAGGATTACCACGAGCTGGGCCGCCCCGCAGGGGTGCGAAATGGGCTCCTCTGTCCGCGGCCAGGCAAACCTCCCTCACCTCTGGAGCTGCTTCTAGACCCGCTCCAGGGGCTTCGAAGACCCCTGCCGGGTAGAGGAGGAGGACCGGGTTGGTGGCGGGGCGCAGTGGGGACTTCGGATCGTGGGTGGTGTCGGCGGCCACGCCTTGTGTTAGGAGAGAGCCTTTCGCGGGCAGGATCGAGGTGGGACCTTCAAAACTCAGCCTTCGGCGCCGACGTCTGGGCGCCCCACCCCGCACATCGCTCCCTTTCCCCCACCCCTTCTAGACTTTAGCTCGGGAAGGCAGTGCGGGGTGGCGGGGAGAGCAGGCTGGAGCCCCGGGGGCGTGAACCCCCACGCGGGAGGTTCGGGCCCGAGTGGTCTTCCTGCCCGCCCTCTGCCTGGCTGCCCAGCCCCCACGCCCCTCCCCGCCCGGGGCGCACGCGGCACTGCCAGCAGGCGGCACTCCAGTGCGGGGATCGATGGGCGCCGGTCCCCTCGGGTCTCAGCCTGTGGGACTGAGGGCCGCGACCTCGGCGGCGGTTGGGGAGGATTTCCTGCCCGATTGGGTTGTACCTCCCAGGCGGGGAAGCAGGCTTTTCATCTACTTCTCGGTTTCCTTTATACTGGGCAGGGTGGGAGCCCAGGAAGGCCTCCGGGAAGCTTTGGGAAGTGAAGATGTGGCGTGGCGCGCACTCCCTGCGCGCCTACACATGACTGTTGGCCTCTCCACACACCAACAGCCCGGAAGCATTTTATATCTCACCTTTCCTGGAACGAGAAATGCAATTCCAGAAAAGAAAACCATGGCCTGCTTTGCCCCCTTTTCCTTAAAATAGGTACATTGTGAAGATCTATTGCACTTTTAAAGACATCGAAACAATACAGAAGGATAGGAAATGAAGAGTGAAAGTCTGCTCTAAGCTGCACTTGGCCTGGCCTTCTGAAGCCAGTAGGTGAACAAGTCTGTAACCTAATGACAGCACCTTCCTTTACTCAAAGAGCCTTAGACAGGAGCATTGACAGATTCATTCAAGATAGAAAAGGAACCATGGTCTCTTACATTACCTAATGCTAAAATGGCATTTCAAAGTCTGTTGCTTACAGCATATGAAAGTACCTCTCATAAATATAAAAAATTCTCTATGAATAACAATTATGAACTTGTACAAAAACTCTTCTTCTGAGTTTAAGAGAAAGTATGAACATTTGCTTGCTTCTTTGTCAGGAACTTACGTAGTGGTATTATGTATTGCTTGGCCTAGAATGCAGTGTGTGTGTTTGTGTGTGTGTGTGTGTGTGTATAAAATATAATGACATACATTATATACATTTATACATAGTTTGGGCATATAGCCTGCTTCTCTTTCAAACCTTTTCATGTAGGTGTTTATGTCTAGAAAACACTGCTAGAATGTTTGTGTACTTGCGTCATATTTGTCAACCCCAAGAAATGTTAGTTTTTAATATCCTCAAGTTACCCTGAGACTCAGACATAAAATGCAAATGTTTTCAGTTGCAAAGATTTTGTGTATTAAAAAATAACATTGGAATATAACATGTATCTTAATGGCAGCTGGTCTACTTTTCTGGCAAGATATTTTGCTATAGCATTAAGTGTTTCACAAATTAAGAAGACTGGTGTGTGTGGATTAATTAAAGTGGATTGGCTTAGTCTAGCCTGCTGTGGACCTAACACACAGGTAGTCTTCTAGCTATTGGGAGAGCCTCCGTTTTTCACCCCTAATAGTTACTGTTGTTAGCCACTATTAAGTTTTTCAACACTTTATGGAGACAAATGAAACATTAGTTGGTGTTGCTGGCAGAGGAGGGGGCAGAAGAGGGCTTTAGTTGAAGTTGAAGAGGGCTGTAGAGGACTTCTTGGAGAAAGGCTTTAGCCACAGTTTTGTTATCATACATTATAAATATTAAAAGTGTGCTTCTTGTCTATGGGGGTAGTGAGTGCAGTTGGTACCTATGCTGATGTAGTTGATGGGATGATGTGCATGGGGTAGCATGTTGGAAGTTGACAATCTTTGGTACAGGCCGCTAGGGGAATGAATGCTAAACACTCTTGCTTCTTACCATTTGCATCATTGAGTCAAGCAGAAAAAAAAAATCAGTTAAGAAACTCCCTGGAGTGATTTATTTCTATTTCCATGGGCATATTGCCTTTGTTTATTGTCTTTTGCTTTTAGCTATTTTTTCAAAGGTGCTGAAAGGCCATCTCTGAAGTCAGACACTAACATTCAAAATTATAGACATTACTTATGTATTTTCCTGTTCATTCTCTTACTTTAATGTCCAAAACCACAAGAGTGTGGGAAGGAGAGAAACCCCTATAACTCAGTCATGCTACAGTAGTTTTCATGGACCCCACATAGTTACTTCAGTGAAATATTTCAATTCAATTGAGTCACTAGTTTGAATGTTAAATTCTCCAAGCTTTCATTAGTCTTTTAAAAATCTCTAGGTTTAGAGGCTTTGGAGTTAGGCAGACACTACTGTGAATCCTTACAGTGCTTGGGAATTGCTTTATCTGCAAAATGGGAATCATGATACTTATATAATATGGTGGTTGTTGGTTCTAGACAGGTGTGTGACACATAGTATGCACTCTGTAATTATATTTATTGTCTTTCATGTCATTCCTAAAATGTCTTGAAGTTTTTATTTTCACAATCAATAAGCTTGAGAGGGTGTGTGAAGTGTGTGTATTTCAGAGGGGCTGACATATAGATAAGTGAGAGAATACTCCCATCCAGGCCCTGGGGTCAAAAGCAGAGTCTGGAAGAATTTGAACATTAGTTCGGTTGCTGGCAGAGGAGGGGCAGAAGAGGGCCTTTGGGCGAGGGAGGCCCAGCAGCATGGACACCTTTCTACTTTGGGAATCAGGTTGTTGCTTTCCGTCTCAGAGGCCTGGGGCACTTCTGAGAAGCTTGGAGCCCTCATTCTTCCGGTTCTCCTGGGAGGTGTGGAGGAGTAGCTGCTGACTGAGGCGAAGGCTTAGCTGGCTAGAGCCCCCTCCAATGAGACAGGATGCTTACATAGTCAGCCCTCCTTTGCTGTGAAGCAAATCGCAAAAGGAGGGTTCCCTTACCATGCTGGGTTACGATTAGGTGTTCCTTACACAAAAGTTTCATCTTGGGCGTTTCGGCCATTTCAGCGCAGATAGGGCACACCCAGGGTGATCCATCGGGCCTGGCTGCGGCCAAGGCCAGCGGCAGGTGCGCGGGTGCCCCGAGGGCCACCCGCTGCCTGGCGCTGGCGCATCCACCGGTGGCCAGCTTTCACCGTGTCCGCCAGGCGGGACTCGCCAGGTGTTAGGCCCAGTGCCACAGGCCTGACACCTGCGCGGGGTCGCCGTGGCTCCTCAGGGAAGCTGGGCCAAAGAGGCTGGGCCGCGCCGGCGGGCGCCGAGGCCACCTTCTCGGGGCAGGCCCGCCGAGCTGAGGCGCAGACACGGCGGCTCCTCCAGGCCCATTAATAACCCGGAGGGCGCTGCGATCCGACAGCGCAGTCGCCGCAGGCTCTTTTACCCGTAGCCGCCTGGCCCCTGCCCAGTTCGAGTGGAAGGATACTGGGCGCCCACTACCGCCAGGCCCGGAGGGTGGGGGTCCCCTCGCGCGCAGGCTGCTCTGGGGAGTGTCGGAGAGAGACAGCTTCATCGGAAGCTTCATCCAGTGTATGTAGCACAACAGAATCGCATTTATCCTGGGGAACAGCCATCCATCGGGGCAGGAGTTGGGGCCTTCTCCATCTAACCATTATGCTGATAATTAAATTTGCTATTCATTTTTTGAGCGTCTAAGAGGAGCGTGCACACCAAACCCTCCAGAACAGCACCTCCGCCCCACCCGTCCCTGCCTGGCTGGACTGCCTGGAGGGAGAACTGACTGGGCACTTGAGGGACCCCAAAGCAGGCACGCCCTTGGAGTCCTGGGGCTGCGGCTCGCACTCCATCGGGCTGCAGGCGTGCTCTGCCCCGTCCCGCAGGTGTTTGGGAGGCAGTCGAGGAAGCCTCTGAGTCCCTGGGTCGAAGGGAGTCCGAGTAGCGCTCGCGCCAGAACTGGCGATTTTAAATCGACTCCTGTGTAATAAAGAGGAACGCTAAATACACAGGTGACCATTATAGACAGAATCTCTTCCAGATAGCAGATTGGGCAAGAGACGGGCTTTTTTCGTAACATGAGGATAAACACACCCTGAAACTCGAGATAGAAACTTCAGGGGTGGTCGAGAGGGTCAGAAGGAACGAGAGGCAGAAGGGAAGAGGGAGAGAAAGAGAGATCGAGACAGAGGGAGAGATGCAGAGACTGAAACAGGAAGGAGAAGCCTGGAGCTGTCGGTTCCGTGGAGAGGGACAGCGTAGATGCTATCTGCACCCAGATCCGAAGGCTTTTTGGGGAGCCTAGAGTCCTGACCCGGTACCAGGCAGATCCGGGTGCGGCGACTTCCGAGGGAGAGTTTCGGGTTCTCCTCTCCTCCTGCTCTGAGTCGCTTCGGTGCTCCCAGGGTAGAACCTTCCTCGAAGGTAGCTTACCCGGGCGGGTTGATGCTGTTGTCTCGGGAGTTTACCCAAAGGTGGGCCGCTCAGAGGGGCCAGACTAACCCGCTCCCTTCCCTTCCTCCTTCTTGTCTTCCGCAGGTTGCGACATGTGCGCTGACAACCGCAACGGCGAGTGCCCGATGCACGGGCCACTGCACTCGCTGCGCCGGCTCGTGGGCACCAGCAGTGCTGCGGCCGCCGCGCCCCCGCCGGAGCTGCCGGAGTGGCTGCGGGACCTGCCTCGCGAGGTGTGCCTCTGCACCAGCACCGTGCCTGGCCTGGCCTACGGCATCTGCGCGGCGCAGAGGATCCAACAGGGCACCTGGATTGGACCCTTCCAAGGCGTGCTTCTGCCGCCAGAGAAGGTGCAGGCGGGCGCCGTGAGGAACACGCAGCATCTCTGGGAGGTAAGTGGCCCACTGCACAGCGCCTCGGCTACGAGCAGGAGCCCTGGCCAGCAGGGAGCCTGGCCTTTAGCAGCGGCAACTGCGAAGTGAGCCTCCCTTGGCCCCCGGAGGGTGGCGGAGAATAGATTTCTCTGGTCCTGTAGATGCCTAGTGTCTGAAGCACCTGCAGTAAGGAGGCTGACAGAGCTGGGGCTGACCCAAGAGCAACCCAGCCAGGGAAACAGAGCCTACAGGTGTCTGAAGTCAGAGTCACCTTAACCTGCCTCAGTTCCAGCTGGAATGGATTTGACCGTTGGTCTCTCTGAATTTTGAGAAAAGGAGAAAACAGCTGAGGAGATGGAGCAGCGGAGGATGGGCTTTAGAGGGTGAGCTGGGTGACCTTTATGTCCCATTCCAAGCGCTTCCAGTGTGTTTCTGTGTAGTGAGTAGGAAGGAACAGAAGCATAGAGGAGAGGAAGGAGAGGCTGGCCTCTTTTCTCAGGTAAAATCAATTTTGTTAGTGATGAACCTGAGAGATTACGTGTTTCACAATTTTCAAAGGCCCAAAGTAAGCCAATTATATTGAGAATTAGAAATCACAAATTCTGTTGCTTCTCTGAAGAACAGAAATTATGTAATCTTCATCAGGATGGAAAATCAAAACATGAGAACACTCTGAGCACTATAGTGTAACCCAATTGAGGATAATACTTTAATGGCACAATCTTACCGGAAGCAATTATTTTAAAATAACCTATTTGAAAAACGTCACCCTGAGATTTCTCCCCAAACGTCATGGTGGATTATTGAGGTTCACTCCTGAAGATACAGATGCTTATCATTTAGGTAACCCTCTACCAATCTTAGCCACCTCCACCCATGCAAAGTTGCTTAAGTAATACAAGATGCCAGAAGTCATACCCTTAAGCAATATGTAAATCTGACTAGCTGGGCAGGTGGTATAATAAAATGGGACTAGCTAGAAAATAAAGTTTCTTAAATGGCAGGGGCCAAGTTGACAGGAACCCCTGGGGTCCATTAATGGGTCATTTCTGCGAGAGTTTGGAGAGTTTGCCTCTGTACTTGGCTCACTGGCCTGTCAAAATGATCTTTTTCACTGTGAGCTGCCTTATATTCGCTAAACAAAACTCATGGGAATCATTAATCCACTCAAATTTTTGATGAGCGCCCACTCTGGCCAGCACTATATTAGGCCTTAGAGAAACTGTGTGAAAAACAGATCTGATATCCAGAACCTTCCTCTGACTATTGGGGATGGGGTCCCGAGGCCTGTGTCTGCAAAGCCTCTTTTGATGGAGAAGGAGCTCAGTGTATGAGTCCACGGCCCAGGAGTCCAAAATGAGGACATGGCAGCCAATGAGCTACCTACGTTACAGTTATCTGCTGGAGTGCCCTGGCTCAAAGCATCTGGTTTTGAAACATTTTGGTTTTTGTTTCTGACTAATTAGTTGTAACCTCCAATGTGGTTTAAAGTTTATAAAACACTTCTAGGTACTTTTTATGTTTCAGTGGTGTTATTAGGAACTCTATTATAATGTAGTTTAAAATCCACCAATATTTTTCTAAAGGAAATTGTACAGCAATTGTTCAATGGTACAAATTTACTCTACCAGAAAATGTTAAAACTGAACACTATTATATTGCCCTTTGATGCCTATCTATTTTTAGAGTGCCAGGGGACAAAGACATAAACATAAAAAAAAAAAAAAAAAAAACCTCATAGTTTATTCTTGGGTTCCCCCCCCCCCAGGAGGCTTTGAATGATTAGTATGTTGGCAGGTGGTCGCTACACATACAGACTATAATAATGTATATCAACACTGAGAACTATGGAACTTCTCTTTTCTACCTTTACTTGTACTTGATGAAGTTAAAATTTTGTTGTAGTAAATAGACTGGGGACTTTAGTCAGTGTTTTTCTTTTTCTTGATACTTCAGTAGCTATAAAGCGAATTTTACCTATTGTTCAGGGCATGTGAGTTTAGTGTGCTGGGGTGTTTCTTAGAGTTGGTTCTGTGTTAGAAAAAAGACTTGCTGAGTGTACTCTTGGATGATCTATAGGACCCAATTTTTAAATTCAGGACATGATCTATTTTTTTTTAAATTATTTGTAACAACAGTTAGAATGATACATTTAAGGAATTGAAGGGATATTAAAACTTCGGCCATGCAAAATGTATCAGTCTCCTGGAAGATCATGTGAAATGTGATGAACTGGGGCCAGGTAACTTAGTGCCAATGGCCAATGTCCATTTGTAAAATAAAATACTTACTTTATAAAATAGGTTGCAGATTTTTATTAGCATAATGATTTTCAACATATGAAGTATGAGTTTTTCAAAATTTTTAAGCATTATGATTTATTTTTATGAAACATGACTGAATTGTTACATTTATAATACAAGATTCCAAATGTTACATTGTTCCTTAAATTTTAGTTCTTTCTTTCAAAGCTAAATTTTATTCTGAAATTTTAAAAAGTCATCGTATTATTTATATTAGAATAAGTAAGTAGAATACATCGCAGATCTGTAGGAAATGTCTGGCAATAATTGTTTAATGACTCATGTAATAATTATCCATTTCACAAACTTATTCTTTTAGATGGCTTCCAGAATACTGTCACCATAAAGTGTATTTGAAAAAAATTAAAAGGAGTTGAATCATGACTATTTTATTTTAAAAGGCAACTGTAATCATTTCTCTTCCTCACATTTTTTCAAATCATTTGCTGATTATTTCAAGTTCAATACTCAGGTCCTGATGTATCTTACCACAATTACTTATCTTTATTTCAGTACAATAAATGGATTGCTAATCTTTTCCCGTCACTGTTTCCAAGTAGATGATGGATTTTTGTTTCAGTTTACAGTTCATTGTTTTTAGTATGGTTGTACTTTATTATACACATGAAAGCTTGTTACAGAAACAATCCGATTCACCTTAGTTACTCCTTTTATTTAATCATTAAAAGCTCTATTTTCTTTGCAGAAAAATGACTTTTTGATATTTAATACACATCAGCCATGGAGAGCTTGTTTGGTTTGTAAGCTTGCGGTCATTCTTTTTAGTTAATATTTTCTTTGTGTATAATCCTAGTTCTTCAAAATACAGTAATTTAAAGAAAGTTAAATATCATTTCATTACATTCAATATCTTTTGACTCTTCTTGGTGTTTATGGGAAATTCCAAGAAAGTTTTTTTTTTTTTTTGTATTGTTTGGTTTTGTTTTGTTTTTGCAATAAGCCAAGGTAATTTTTTATTTTTTATAGTTTAAGAAGATTACAAGTGAAAAGCCAAATCATTAGTCATTTATTTTTGCCAGTTTCTTTTAGAATCAGAATTTTAATTTTTTTAAAACAATGATAAATTCAGACACTTTAAAACAAAACATTACAGGGTGCATTAGACAATCACTTGCCTTGGTTTTATATATATTTATTCCAAGACTTGGATGCATGATACATTTCTAGCTATTTGAACATAGTATGAAGAAAAATCTTTCTCGGTGTTTTCCAAAGAAAACAGAATCTTTCTCAGCATTTAGGTCTTATTGATGAGAATGAGATAATTTTATCCTAATGTGTTTTCTAACAAAGAAGTGAAAAGGCACATTTGATTCCAACATTTATGAAAACATTATCTCAATTATTAATGTGCCCCCTTTCCCTTGAGATAAATTAATCTAGTTGCACATGGTTTCCTCTTTCTGCTTAACATCAGAATTTAATATGACTGGACCTGAGGAATGTACCCAGTGTATACTTAAAATTCTACTGGAATAAAATACAGAAGTTTAAAATAAAGTTACAGTTTAAGATAGGCTACAATTACTCGGGCCTTTCAACTAAATGTCTGACTTGACAAGAAATTATAGCAAGAATCACAAAATAAGTTGCACTTATTTTCACCCTAGAAAAATTATCCTGCTAATTGAAATAATGTAGTGACTTGTTAGGATTACAGTTAAGGTATTAGAAGGGCTTTAATTCTACAGAACCTGTCTTCTGTTTGCCTGAGTAAATTTGAGTGTCTCATTTTCATTTGTACCACGTGGAAACCTTCATTATTTTTCTTCAGAAAATCAAGGGGGATAACATAATGTGAGCCTTTTTGTGGTTTGGTTTTGTGCCATAATATTTTAGATTTAATAAGAGTTTTGCTGTTAAGCAAATGGTCTATTTTTCATCGTTACTGTTTAGCGTAGGTCAAGAGATATTAATGAAAACCAATATTAAAAATATATTACACATTGCTAAATGTTTATATTTCAAAACCATCATAGGTAGTTGATTCTAGAAGAAAATGAATTGATTTCATATTTTAAATGTATTATATATGTTTCTATAAGTGACTCAATTTCATATATACAGTGCTGTATCCACTTGTATGTATTTAGATGTTGGAAAAAATATTTTAAATTAATCACTTTCAATTAAATTACAATCATTTAAAATTTGTCCCAGTGATAATACTGTAATTATATACTCCATATTCTGTTTTATAGACTTTGGCTCATTTGGGCATGATTCACCAAAACACTAGGGGATAGAATTATGTGGCTGTTGCAGTTATATTGAAGTAAAAATTGTGTTTTTCAGCAATTTATCATTTAATATAGTAGCCTGCCTGTCAGTTTGGTTTTGAATATGTCAAATTTGTGAAATTCAAATAATTTTTCCTTAAAAACAAACCATAGTAATGTTAATATTATGTTTTAAATTATGCAGAGTAACAGCTGGTGCATCTCTTCAGCTTTGCCTCATTTGATTTGAGGGTGTCTTTTATAGTGGTGCCCATTTGATAGAGTGTGAGCATTTTGTAGTTTTACATATACTGTAAAACCATCTGCTGCCTCTTGGAATGGTTTCCAGCATTGTATTAAAAGTCAAAACTTAGTACTTTAAGTTTCTTTGAAAATGTCCCTTTAAAGTTCTGGTCCTTTTGGTTTATATCCTGCTGTATAGTGCCACCCTTAGTTTTCTAAGTCCAAAAATAAT